ACCATGGCAGCAGGGCGATGCAACAATCAAACAAATGCGAGACCTTTTCGCAACACAACATGACTCGAAACAACAACACTAGACACCAAAACAACACATACAAAAACACACACTAGAACAACACATACAAAAACAACATACACACATTATGGCACAAAACAACAGCAACACAATGCAGCAACCACACAAACAACAACAAACACACACACGCAAACACAACAACACAAGGAACGTAACACAGAAAATTTCGAGGTGTGATATGAAATGATGAAACTCATGTTACAAAGAGGAACAGTGTGTTCCGTGCGATAAGATAACAGATTCATCCTAATTGAAACTAATACATTTTGCTCGTTGATTGATGAATTAATTGACTGACTGACTGACTAACTGATTAACTGATTGATTGATTGATTGACTGATTGATTGACTGATTGATCAAACGTTAAACAAAACAATATAAATCACAAATCGAAGCAAAAATCTCCAAGTTAAAATTAGACCTGGATGGAAAAATTAAATGGTGAAATGATGAATGAATGATGGAGGAATGAATGAGTAGTGGAGTGGATGGATGGTGGTGTAAATGATGGTGGTGCTGTGAATGGATGCTGTGGATGGATGGTGAAATAGATGGATGATGGATAGATGGATGGTGGAATGGAGTACTTTTAGAAAATAAATTGGATGGAATGTGATTAATGTTGTGTCTCTGATGACTCGGCATCATATGATAGATGAGTGGACATCTGATGAGAGGTCTGGGAATCATGATGATGATGATGGTAGTGATGATGATGATGATGGTAAGGAATGTGATGATCATAATGGTGGTGGTGGAGGAAACAGTGAGGCTGGTGATGATGATGACAGTTATGTTGACAAAAATGATTGGGAATGGTGATAACGATTTTGGTTATTGATATATTTTTGGTCACGCAGTTTTCAAGACAAAAAGTTCTTTTGCCAAAAATTTTTATTATTTTTTTCAACAAAATTGGAGCATGCCAGGGGCGTCTTTCAACTCACAGCTTTGCAGTTCAGGTCTATTATATTTTTTCTTTTTATTACTCAACACATTTTCAAACTTCCAACTTGTTTTTCCACCACCTGTCTACCTCTCCTCTTTTAAAACAATTCACCAGATTTCTTATTTATATCTTCCAAAATTTTTCCAATCCTCTGCAGTTTGTTTTGTAGGCCAGGCTACCACTTGTTCCGGCCATTTAACTTTTCTCAACATTTGCTCAACTTTCATTTAAAAAATTATAAAATTTTCAATTACTTGAAATATAAAGATATAAATTTAGTTTTACTCGATGTAGTTTTCTTTTGAAGTTTTCTTCATTACATCCAATGAATATATTGATAGATGAAATATACAAATATGAAGCATCAAAACATTTGGTTAAATCATCTCTTGATTCATGTGCGACAGAAAATGAGTAGAGTAGTATTCGTTTAGGTGTTTGTTCATTTAATATTGTTCGTTGAATGACCAAACAGTTGAATGAACGAACAGTTGAATGAACAAACAGTTGAATGAATAAAAACGAAGCAGTATTGCCTTGATTCAAAATTGAATCATTTTGTACAACAAAAATTCATTTAGGCTATAAAACGTATTGAAGTTCTACCAAAAGTCAAAAAACATCAAAATCTGGACTTTCTTTATCCATAAAATTGCATTTTATATATTCCATTATCTGAGAGGATCGTCATCAATGTTATTTTGTGCTGCACGTTTGTCTGGGATCAGGAAATGTTCTGCTGGGTGTTCATAATTTGATAGCAACCGAGCTGATTAGGAGGAAATAATTTGTTTGAACTCTCGTAATAATTTTATTTTGATTTTTATTTCTTGAGTTGCAGTGATTAATAGCACTCATCTATATCTATTAACAAGCGAATACTAGCTGAGTAATTTATTGACGATAGCTCTGCAAACATTATAAACAATTCACACACCTACGAAAGATTTATTTACAAACTGTCAACATAAGCAGTTAAAAATAAATAAATGTATTCATATCTGAGTTCCCAAACGTTATAATTTTTAATTAATAAATACGTAAACATGTTCATTAAAAAAAGCATTTACTACATTGAATAAATTACTGCAATAAGTACACAGGTAACACAGAATTTTTTTTCTTTTTATGTTAGTTTTGCATGTAGTCATTTGCATTCGCATCTAAACAAAAAATACAAAATTCGAACATTTTTGAAAATACAAGCAAACCCTAAATAAATTTTGTTGTAATTTTTCATTGAAGCAACTTTCTTTTAGTTGACTCGCATCACAAACGACACATGGTTGTCCTACTTATCTGACATCCTGACCTGCCGATGACAGTCACTTCTTCATTGTGACCATCATTTACAAACTCCAAGACATATTAAGAGATTTATTGAAGACATTTATTAATATAATCAATTACAGACAAATTTTAAAGATACTAAATTTCTGGTTAATGCCATTTTACGTAGAGCCAACAAGTAATCAGACCATGAAGCAAATTGATTGGTGCATCCACCCAAAAGTCACAAAATTCGAACCAGCAATTGTGACATTTCTGAGATCTACTTTGTGTGTTGGGTGAGGTGAGTGTTGTCGTATCGTACTCTATCTTATGCAAAATTTGTGAGCTAGTTTCAGAAACACTTCCTTGATTTCGGGTTGTTGAAAAATGGTGTGAAAGCTACTTCATGAATTCTTCAATCTCGATGCTACTCTTAAGTTCGACAGCTAAGCCATTCCAAATTTTGCTAGGTCATTCTAAATTTTGGTAGGTCAATCTAATATTGGTAGGTCATCCTAATTTTGCTAGGTCATTCAAAATCTTGGCAAAATAAACTGAAAACATTCTTTTTCCAAAATGAGCAGACTTAAATTGCAAAAATATAAGATCACCGTTGTTGGAAAATATCAGTAAAAGTCAGCCAGTCACTTCAGAGACCGGTTCTAATTATTCTAATAAGCTAGTGCATTGACTGTAGGATAATAACAACTAAATCTGCTTTAAACTCAATTCTCTTTTTCATACAAAACCAGTGCAATTCACTTCGAATGTAGCTCAATACCGATTTGAATTTTGGAAACCGGCAACAAACCTAGCAGAAGCCTTCAGCTAAATACAATCTAAGTAAGATAATTTTATTCCATAGAGAGTTGATTTGCAATAATCAACAATATTGAAAACAAAACTAAAAACAAGTATTTTTGCTGATTCAAATATCAAATAACATCTTACTGTTCTGATTTGGTGCAGATGATAGATAAAAAGGATTTCAAGATCTCTATCAGGATTGTCAAATTAATTCACACAATTAAGTCACTTGGAAGTCAATTAACAAACGATGAGAACAAGTTTTAAAATGAAATAGCGTGGGAATTTGAATATTTTTTTGAAAGAAATATATTTGAAGCACCGAGAATCATGATGACACAGTCTTTGAAAGAGATGAGACAGTTGAGAAGCGATTTAAATTTTTTGTAAAAATGTTAATTATTTGCAACAGCCCAGGTTTTTGAATCAAAATTCATTTGAAATCAAACGAAGATGATGGAAACATTGATAAACACGCATGTGGCGTGCAAAGGTTGCTGAACGGAACATCAATCACACTCCATTCAGACGAATCTGATCAAATGACAAATTTTCCAGCAGCTCAACTGAATAATTTGTTGAGCATAATATGATGACCATGACGTTGTGGAATAGCAGAACTGATGCACTGGTCAGTCTGCTACTGTATGAAGCAACTTCATCAGGTCAATAATGTCTATTATATTTGCCGATCGACAAAACGTCAATTTTTTATTTCGACTCACTTCTTTCACAGCAATAAATTTATATGCAAGAAATTTTTCAATTTTAAGAAACTGTGAGCAAGAATGACGTTTTATTAACTAAGCCAACCAACTACTCATCATTCTGTTCAATCTTTGGTTTCAAAATTCTGTCTAGAGTAAATATTTTATAAATTTTCAAAACAATAACAACAATGTTCTTGAAGATTTTAGTGACGATCATCATGATGACCTCGACGATTATAACATCAGTGATGGTGGTTGATGATGATGTCGTTGTTGATGATAAGGAGATGATGAGGAGGAGTAGGTTGTTGTTGATGATGACGAAACGATGACGATACGCTGTTTTGAAAATAAAAGGCCACTGAAGAATTTGGCAAGAGGAAAAATTATGAGATACGCTGACTGCAGAAATAAATAACCAAAGTTTTTAATTATTCACGTCCTTTCCTTTGATGGCTCTCTGATGCCAACCATCTTCAATGGCAAATCCATAATAAATACCCCACAAAACTGGAGAACATGTTGTGTTGGTGGTGGTCAGGAAGGTGTGACGGATCAATATCAACATACAATTATTTACTTTTTTATTGGTTTGTTTGTTTGTTTGTACGTTCGTTTGTTGGTCTCTTAGTTTGGTTTGTTGGTTCGTATGTTTATTTCATTCAAATGGCCAAACTTTTTAAATGTAGTAAGAAATGCGTATTTATTATTATTTTATATTGCGAAAGTTTTTGAAATGATTTTTTAAATTTGATAAAATTTTTTCTTTCACAATATTTTAACTTTTTTGGAAATTTTCCCTGCAAGTTCAAACCGCATAATTTGTAAAATTTATTACATTAGTGCAGGCCTACGGTAATATTTATTTGCATTTTTCCTTGCGCACATTTTACGCTTTGACAAAAAAAGCATAATAAACAAACGCTCTTTAACTTGTTCATCCATTCATCAGTCTTTCATAAATTTTTCAGCACAACATGTTACAAGTTGAAGTAGAAACTGACAGCTTGCTTGGCATTAAACCAAACCAAATATGACATGATTTGCATGTTGCTTCAGTTTCTTTTCTTGTGTTAAAATATGTTTGTTGCAACTCTTTCGGCCACACCGGTATATTGAAGAGATATCGTGTTATTTGTGGTGGGATTGTTGAATTAGATTTGGTGAATGTATGTTTCACCAAACCAGAATAAGTGCAATCTGAAATAAATTTATTTGAAGATGTATCAGGTCAATAAAATTAAAATGTAAAAAAAGAATGATTCATAAATTACGGTGTTATAAATCGCTAACTAAATTTGTTGGTTTTTACAAAAGTTCATCTTAGGGCACAAATTTATTTTGATCACTGTGTAAGGATGCAAAAAGTCGATTACATGAATCTGTAAAAACGTGACTTCAAGATTCAACAGCTTGATTAAATGATTGCATGAGTGATTACAAATATCGATAAGTTTGAATCAAATCCAACATTCGCGCTTCATTTTCTTGCCGAAATGAAAACTTGAGCCTCACTTAACAGGTGAGTACGAAGCAATCATTAAATTTGTAGGCTTCTCGTTATGACTGCTGCTTCTAAAAGAAAATAAATTGTAAATTTATGAGAGCAATACATCACATCACCACATCACATCACCACATCACATCACCACATCACATCACCACATCACATCACCACATCACATCACCACATCACATCACCACATCACATCATCACCACACCACATCCCATCATTAAACCTCACGTGAATCTCGTACTCAGTGCATAGCATCATCTACCCTATAAAGCGAGCCATGAAACATGAAGCATCAATTTTATTTGCACTCAAGTCTTCGCCAGTGAATGGGCGAATGTTTCATCATCGGAATGATTGTTAGGCTGCTGCCTCATCGCTCATGTACCAATTAAAGTTAATGACTGCCTGCATTGATATTTATGCGCCTGGATAGGCTGGGAATGAAGTGGCCGGTGACAGCGGATAGAGGTTCGTGGTTCGATGTTGTTGTTATAACTACTGCATCATTTGCAACTTTCAATGCATCCATCGTTTAATTTTTCGTCCAGGAACATCGTAATGTTTGTCGCCTGCTTGTTAATATTTCAGGGTGTTGAAATTTATTCAAAATTATTTTAAACTAACATTGATTTAAAATGTTTCGTATTCATTCTTCCAAATAAAAAATAGTCTAGCGAATTGCAAACATGTATATTTAGGAACGAATGTACATACGCGTTTGTACATGCTCTGGTGTTTTGTTTGTATGTTTGTAATTTTGTTGGATTCTTCACGTTACATGTTCACACGCATGTTTATATGCTGTCAGATGCGTGCACTTTTTACAATTCTTCAGTATATTTCAAAAATATCAGCAACAAACACACAGTGTATGCGAAGGTTAATGGGTTAAAGATCTAATACACATTTTCTGGGTTCAGTGGAATCAACAGTACACAAACATATTGTTTGGTGCATGCATGCGTGTGTATTGTTTTTTGCATGTGCGCTAATGTATTGTTAGTGCATGCATACTTGTATGTTTGTACCTCACCGCGTCATATATTATTTTTGTTTGTTCTGTTCAGCCACTTGGCTAGCAATAAAACAATAAACACGTTTTACGACACGTTGAACACTTCAAACTTCTACATGAAAGGAAGCTTTATTCGAAACCATTCATCTGCCGCCTTCATAAGCACTCGAGTTAGTACTCGGCGGTCACATCAACGAACGTGTCGCGATAAATAAAACAAATATTTCATTGTTCAACGCTCAACACTCATCGCTGACGTCCTCCTCCAAAGGCTTCTCATTCACCATGCCGTTCTGATCTGCGCCGTTCAATTACAAATCTCTTCAGGCTTCAACTCCAAATGCTTATATTTTGGCGATGTTTTAACAACTTTATTTTTAATATTTCAGATAACTCTAGCATAAATGGTGCAGCTTGATTCGGGGTCTTAATTTTCATAAAATTATAAAACAATAATTTTTCAATACAGTTCATTCAAAATTTTAATTTTTAGCATCAGCAGCCAGGTCACCAAGCGGCAGCAGTCGTTCAACGTGCACCATTTAATTTATTGAGGCCATAAAACTGAAGCACTTCATTTCAACGCTGTAAATCAAAATCTCATTCCCCTTTGATAAGCAGCGGTGTGCACCTCTTCAACACATTCCTGCCTTGAACTTCATTTTGATAGTAGTTAATAAATTTGTTGAAGATATCTGCGAGTCGCTTGCAAGTCATTTTAAGGTTATATTCACGCATTGTAATGTATTTTATTTCATCAAAACTGAAAACCATCTCACATCAACCAACGTATTCACACTAAAATGTGAACAAACTTATTTAATTATAAATAATTTTCTAGTATTGCATCCAATTTGTGTGCGTTCATGCATTAAAAATAATATTCAATATCTGAATATCTGATCTACCTATACAATGCCGACATGCACCATCAAAACTATTCCTCGTCACATGATATTATATCAATTCATTACATTGAATACAAGTAACGAGATAGTCTGATGGCTAAAGATCCTGGTCTTGCTGTCACACTGACTAAGTTTTAATGCAAAATAATCTTAGACTATTTGTTGATACTTTTAAAAATTAAGAAAGACCATCACATCAACCCAACACCAAATTTAATCACATCAACCCACCACACAACACCACGTTTCACCACACCACCCACCACACCACCCACCACACCACCCACCACCACACCACCCACCACACACACCACATTGCCGCGACACCGGAAGTTAGTAAGAGCAATTGAAAGTTCATGGAAGCTGCTTATGTTGCATCTGATTGATACTGCATGTACGGACCGCAGCACAGACATCGCATGAACCTGCGCAAGATGTATCACTCCGTAGAGCATTCAAATAGTCCCCATCCCATATAACATCTTTCTTTTTTTTCTTTCCATCCATTTCCAATTTTATTTATTCAGCATGTGGACATTGAGAAATTGTTGGAATGACGGCTGCCTATACCTTTCGATTGTTTTACTTCCTGAAAGCGTGCACATCGCATGGAGAATATTTTTCTAAAACGCTCCTAATTAATAAATACAATAATATCCCAAAACTCAATTTATGTCCTAATTGGTGATTACTATTTGACATAGGCAGCATGAATGCCGTCCACCCAACTGAGGTTCACTTCAACACCACCATTACCGCTTTTAATTTTTTAAATAGTTATAATGCATTATTGTCACTATCATTTGCATCATCATCATCATCATCATCATTATTATTATTATTTCAAATTCTAACGATCATTTGACACCTTTATCACCAAGTGTGCATAATATTAATAATAATTATTATTATAGTTATTTTTAAACTAATGAAACTAATCTAATTTCATCGAAACAATGTAAACAACAAAAATATAAAAATTTAAATGCATATCTAAATAAAGAATATGAAGATTGTTCTATAATAATTAATACATTTGAATTGTCGCCAATTGGTTTACGTAATAATTTTAATCTATCGATATTTAAATTTACATGGTCAATACCGTTTAACTTTAAATTAATAAACAGTGTTATCAGCTCGTCATATGGAGTTTATTGTGGCAGAAACATTGCCTAATGCTATTTTAAATATAACTTACACCCATGCACTTGTCATTGGCAATGAGGATGGGTGGATCGTACATGTGATTATTTTCTATTGATTATTTTTTATTCTATTCATTTTAACATTTTAGTTACAATTTATTATCTTAATATCTTATAGTTTCATTGTGTCGATTGGATAAATAAAATATGTTCACATTATAAATTTGTATTTCATTTATGAAACATGGACATTAAGAAAATGTTGACAAAATGATGTCCAGGCAGCCACAAACTCATCCAACTTCCTCTTCTAACACCCACCACATCCCACCTTTCCAGCTCCCACTTCCCTCTCAACGAAATACTTCCACCATTCGATTCAACTTTAGCTTGGCTTTAACTAGATTCATCGGTTTATTTCTGTGATCGGTCGTGGAGTCGCGACCACACCCGCCACAACTCGATTCAATCGCCTGTTCATGCTTTCATTTTATTTTGATAGTAACTAAAGGTAGAACTCTAAAATGCTCTGTTATACTGTTTTCATCACTATGTATCGATATTATTGTCAATTTATTGATAAGGATATGTGATTAATTTATTTATAAGTGTTTTTTATTATCATTTTTTTTACAAAGTTTAATACATTATTTGACTTATAAGAACATTAATTAATTTATTCAGTATAGACTCATAGGTTTATTTAAATTGTTGTTTTAAAATTGTCTTAGTTTTGAGAAGACACAGGGACGTTTCGTCTTCGCCTTTGTTTAACGTAATAATAATAATAAAATAATAAGCTTGAACGGTTTGCACTTACAATTTTATTTTAAAACAACCTGTCAAAAAACTAATACTTTTGTAAGCATTTAGTGCCGGATCCACAGTAGGGCCGTGAGTCACTGCCCCCTCCCGTTGTGGGTATTATATGGGTTAAGACTTAATGAAAGTCATTGTTTTAACGGAAAAAGTAGTGTTTTTGAAATTGAAAACTGACATTATAAACCAATTAGCAAAAAATTTGCCTCCCCCCTCTGTCAAAATATTTGCCCCCGTGAGAACAAAAAAATTTTCGAAACGAATTTGCAAATTTTTGAAAATCTTCCCCGGTCACCCAGTTTTTGTTGAAAATTCTTTTTTCTCCCTTTTTTTTGGAAATCTCGCTCGGTTTTGAAATATTTTAAAAAATCTTGGCCTCCCTCCCGTCAAAGTCGTCTAGGTCCGCCACTGTGGGCATCAGTCTTAGTTCATTATTTTCGTTAACAAAATTTATTTTCTTCGATGGAACAGTTTTTTTTATTATTTATCAAATCATGAAATGGGTAATGTGAATTTAATTGAATTGCTCGACTAATTTTTGATAAGTTTCACTTCTTGGTGAAATTCCTCAGAAGCAACGAAGCAGTCTCCCTCTTGTTGGCATTCTCTTTATATGTGGCGCCAACGACATCAAGCAAGCAGTTGAGCTTGCCACCAGTCTAAAGAGATGCATACAATAATGAGGCAGATCAATCAGACAAGATGATGTTCGTCAGAGGCGAAAGTACCATTCCATTTGTGCAACTCTCACCAGCTATGCGTGTGTGTGTGTATGTGCGTGTGTGTGAATGTGTGTGTTTGTGTGTGTCTGTGTGTGTGTGTGTGCTTTCTTTCAAGAGAACATGATAAACACTTTATCGTTATCATCAGCATGATCATCATATTCCCATAAATGTCATTATCATCGTAAATGCTTTGCTTCACAAATTTCTTACCATTCAATCTTTTAATTCAACATCAACACTTGAAATAAAAAATATTCTGAATAACGAAGCGAAAATATTTTTTTTAAAATTCCACATCTATTTTTAAAAACTAAAATTTTGGTGAAAATTAATTGTGGTTCTATGCATCAGTCAGACTGGCTCGCAGTTCATCAACATTCTGATCGTGGTGTTGGGTACGATGTTTAATATTTTTGATTTTTGAATTTGTTGTGATTTTATTAAATTTTTCGTTTTTTTAATAGCATGTATTACATTTTAAATGCTAAACGTCTTTTTCTGTTTTAAATCTTGTTAGAATGTGTGTATTCTACAATTTCCTGAAGCAAGTCCGACGGAGCAGTCAAACTCGGTCTCGAATCGTAAGTTGAAACAATTGCTCACATTTCCGTTTCCAGTTCACTCCGAGCTTCCTGCCATGGCCAAATTTTAGCGCTCAAATGTCAACTTGAAAAAATCATCGTCGTTTTTATACAAATTTAAAACATGAACCTCGAAAATTTTGTATTTTTGCTAAGTTTCGGGGTAATAATATTCGTTTGCGTGTTTCCAAAAATTTTACGTGTGACAAGTCATTTATATGTTGAATCAATTAAGGTTTTTAAAAAAGTTTCACTCGTCATGTTTATATCTGTTTATTGTCCGTGACACAATTCGAACATATTTTCGTTTATTGAAAGATGCGCCCAACGTGTAGCACTCCTTGTTGACTTGACACAACAGGCAAATGTCTGATTTGTTGCGTATTCATACGTTTACTGATTGGGCAATATGCCCAACCTCTGGATCTAACCAGTGTAAGATGACATTAAAACAACATCAACTCGAAGATAGATATGACATTGGGAATAACAACAAAATAATACATCCTCCGTATAACTCTAGCCGTGACAGCAATAGCAGTAGCAGCAACAGAACATTCCAGAAGAGGAGACGGACACGTAGAAGCATTGTAGCTGGCCATCCATCATGGAACGTGTCAGCAACGCACCATTCATCATATTCACTTTATGACAACATGCGATTCTACTGCCATCTACGACTTATTTTTATTCACACAAAATTGTTTATTTAAAGTTACTGTTCGTTTGTAATTCTTAGCCATGTTCTATATTTCTCTTGCAGTCAAGATAATTATCGTGACTTGTCGAGTGCAAGTGTGCATGTTCATGCGTGCCATCTCATTCATTATGTCATTATAGTTATGAACGTTTCACTTATTGAAAGGAGAAACTGCAAAATAAACATTTATGTGAAGTTGTACTTCTTGGTGATTTCTGCTGGCTGATTCACGGGTGTGAAGGATTCTTAACAACTCTTTAGGGGCATGAATGCTTTGCCGATTTCATTTTTTAATAAATATAACCAGGTCTAAAAACTCAGGACTGAAAATCAAGAAACAACAAAAATAAATATCATTTTTCAAAAGCCCAAATTTCACTTTGCTTTTCGAAATACAAAAACAAAAATTAAAAAAAAATGTGAAAATTTATGGAGAATCAATATAAAACATTCAAAGTTACTATCAAATTACACAGACTACAAAACTATCAACAAGCAACAATAACAACAATAACAAACAACAACAAACGACAACAGCAAAAACAATAAACAACAACAAACCCCACTAAATAACAACAACAAACACCAACAACAAACTCCAACAAACATTAACAACGAACAACAACAAACAACAACACCAACTTACAAACACCAACTACAAACAACAACAAATAACAACAAACAACAACAAACAACAGCAAACACCAACAAACACTTTCCCGCCCGGATTGAGGAGCGGAGAAGCATGAAGTGATTAAGATGGATACCGTGTCTAACTCGTGTAGTTGGCTGGTGCTCGGTGAATGATGGAGTGGACAAGTGCGAGCTGATGTCTTGTTAGGTGGCTCGCTCCATGCCTCTCTCACTCATTCTCTACCTCTCCTTGCATGCTTGCACTCCTGTCTAGAACTCCACGCGTTTGTGTTAATCTATAATTTTCATCTGCATGAAAGCAATTATACAAAAATATATTTCTACACACTCATGCTGATAATATTTCGTATGCGTAAACTGCATTCATACATCGGGGTGTGTGTGTGCTGTACGTCAGTTACATGGACAATTGTGCACTTTGTACACAAGGTGGTGTATGCAACTGTCGTTATTGCATTCTTTATTCAAATATCATTTTTTATAAAAAGTTTTAAAATTTTAATATTTTGATTTGAGTGTTGCAATTAAAATATCCAAAGCTGAGCACTTGATTGTAGGTAAAAATAAATTCAGTAAACCAACTCATTAAAAGCGTTCACACATTTCGAAAGAAAAATACAAATGGGTGAGCGGGCCACAGTCGGCAGCACAAAACGTTTGTACATTCGCTTGTCTTGTGCATGCTGAAAACAACACGGTCGTACATTAACTTACATGTACTGCGAACTACATGCTCGTACATCCACCTGGATGTGTCGTGTTGCACAGTGTACGCACCAATAAACTCAACTCGTACCCGCACACCTAAGCTCTCCTTCTCGTCGCATGGAGAGTGCGGCACTCAGCACCACCCAGCACCAGGAAGCAGGCGCACAGAAAGCAGACAGCCTACCTAACACAATTAGGCCTGACTATAAACAAAATGTTCGG